CTTTTAAAAAACTGTCCATGTTTTTACTGTAAACACTTTATTGTGGATTTTCAAGGCAGCTACAAAAATGTATGCTTAGCAAAAATCTGATATCTAACATTATACCATCCATAAATTATTTTGCACAATTTTATTTAAATTACTCTGACTATGTGTTTTGGAATAATTGAGGTGGTAATTTAAAAAAAAAAAACAGAAATCAATTTTTTCCTTTTTTTCAACTTTTAATATAAAATGAAATTTCTAAAATTTAAGGGTCTATTTCTGAATTTTATCCACTTTCTACTAGGGTAAACAGTTTGCATCGTATGTATTTTTTTCAATGACATTTCTCCTTTTTTAAATAAAGAATTCAGGGGAAGACTACCCTAATGTTCATGTAACATGCATCGTGGAAGTGCTAATGGTCTTCATTCATGACAAAATTAGTCCATACTGTTAAAGTTCCTGTGTGTGAATGTTTTTTGAATCTAAGTCTGTTCACATTAGGAGTGTAATTTCTGATGCTTTGCAGTCTTGATGCCTGTTTGTGGTCTTCTTACTTAAAAGTATAAATCCACAGCTCAGGAAGTGTAGACAAGAACATTGGTGGCTGGGTTGCTCTGAAAAGACTATTTACAGGGATGCTCTGGTTTTATCATGGAGTAAAATTGATAAAGATAATTGTAACTCACCCCTGATCTAGGTGGGGTAAGGGTGAGGGGATCTTTACTCATTCGAGGTGCCCATTGCACTGCTGACGAGTGGAGCCAGAGTTTGCAGCTGGAATAATCCCCTTTTGTTGCATAATTCATTCATTGATTCAAATAATTGTTGGACGTCATTCTCTGCCAGGATGTGATCTGAGTGCTGGGGAGGAGCGAGATCTCTGTCTGCATGGGGACAGATATTTCAACTTTACATTCAGTGGGGGGAGAAAACCAATCAAAACAAATAGGCTTATTTCAGAGTGAGTAATGGTTAGTGCTACAGAGACTTTAGTAAGGAGGTTGATGTGATCAAGAGTTACATAGAGAAGGGGAGACAGGTCAGGAAGGGCCTCTCTGAGAAGAGGCCATTTGAGCTGAAACCTGAAGGATGAAAAGGAGCCAACTATGTGATGGTGCCGAGGAAGAACTTTCTGGGCAGAGAAATCTGAAATTGCAGAGGAGCACAGTCAAGAAAAGGATTGGCAGGTTCAAGGAGGAGCAAGAAGCCATTGTGCCTTTGGCAAAGAGAGGAGGTCGTGAGTGCTCCAGGATGATGCAGGGAGGATGGGAGAGGTCAAATCCTGCAGGCTCTCATAGACCATGCTAAGGGGTTGAACTTTATTATAATTGCAACACAAAGGCATTGCAGGAGTCAAAACAGAGAAATGTCATGGCGTGGACAACATGGTGGCTTGATCTAAGACAGTGGCCATGGAGTCAAAGAGAGAGTGTCTCTTGAGTCAGTCATTCAGATAAAGAACTGGCAGTGTGTGCTCATGAATTCACTGTCCTTACAAAGGCATTGCAGGAGTCAAAATAGAGAAATGTCATGGCGTGGACAACATGGTGGCTTGATCTAAGACAGTGGCCATGGAGTCAAAGAGAGAGGGTCTCTTGAGTCAGTCATTCAGATAAAGAACTGGCAGTGTGTGCTCATGAATTCACTGTCCTGGGAATGGGGAAGTTTCATGTGGCCAGAGTCTAACAGTGGTAAGGGATGGAATTAGAAATTTAGGTTGGAAAAGGGGTTGTTTGCCACCACGAAGTTTTATCTTCAACCCAAAATCAACAAGGAGGTTTGGTAGAGAACATTTCTTTCTTACTGTGTCTTGGCATAATTGTGATCATTTTCTTTTGTTAAATAAGTATTCATAAGAATAAACTTGCCAATCATCCACTTATTCCCAGATTTACACATGATGCAATCTTATTAAACAAATCATCGATAGAGAGAGAGAGACATATTCATTATACACCAAGATCATCCATTTTCTGGCTGCCTTTTCTCTCTCGCCTCAACTGCCGGTGGCAAACAAAATCACTTAAGTCAAGTGAACGGTTTTAAATGTATAATATTGAAATGTGTTTTTAAAAAACTCCTTGGAACCCTCAGCCATTGTTAAAATACACTCACTTTGACGGATGCTTTGGCACTTTTTTTTATGAGGCTTTTCAACTCGTTACCTTATCGGGTGCATGAGATTTAGTCTGTTCTGCAGAGGGAAACAGACAAAAAGGGTCTCTCAGCATGAGTTACTCTTCTGTAAAGGTTATAGTAAACATGTCAATGCCTAATTAAGCAGAAAATTTTATCTGTATTGTGGGGGAGGCGTTTGCTGTCTCTGACTTTTCTTCTGGGGAATCCATTTAGAAGGACAAAGTAGATTGTGAGGTTGAGCTGGTCTGGAAAACTCAGCTTCCAAATGTCAGCAGAAAAAAAGGGAACATTTCTTTTCTCCTTGTTTGAAAATGACTTACATTGGCTGGGCAGTTTGTGTGTGTGTGTATGTGTGTGTATATGTGCGCATATATATTTTATTAACACACACACAAAATAACATGAATTATTTCCCAATTTCCTACTAAGGTCCAGGCACAGTGCTAGGCACTGGAAATACTCAGACTGATAAAGCCCAGTAACATGCTTAACCAACTGTGATGATGAAACCCACCCCCCACCAGATTTCTTCCCTTGTTCTCTGTCTGTGCAAATGTGCAACTTTTCTTTGTTGTTGTGATCACACTGCCCATTAGGTGTGGTGATAGATCACACTGCCCATTAGGTGTGTCATAGTTATCCTGGAACAGTCCTGCCTAATGCCTGTTTTCACGGTGTATGTCCCAGAGTAAAAGCATCCTTTTAATTCTCAAAAGTGACCCTATTTGACTGATGGAGTTTGCCTGATTCCTTGGAGTACTTTACTTGACTGGGTGACAACTTGTTTGTTGATTTTATAACATAGACTTTCTCCTTGAACTTCAGGGTATAACTATTTTTGCAAACATGCAAATTAGTTCAGGAAAAAGAACCTGTGACGAGAATGAGGGGAGTGTTCTAACTCAGTCCTTGCATTATTTTAAACTATGATTTTCCTGCAAGTAGTGACCATGTATTAGTGGTTGTTTGGATAGATTGAGTAGTTTTTGTTTCTTCAAATCAATTTATGGAACTAGAGATCAGCAACACCAATTTAAAATCCACTCGTCAACTTGCTGGGAAAGCAGAAACACCACACCAATAACAATAAAATAACAGACACAACCATAAAACTCAGGGCTAGACTGCATTTTTACATTTCATCTTGTTTTATTGCATCATGACCTTAAAATTGTGGGCTCTTATATCCAGCATATCCACAATTCTCTCTGAGGTGGTGGTTATCTATTTAGTGATATTTTAGTAAAATTCCACTGCTTACCCTTTAACCTTTGGGTCTCATCAAAGTTTTCTTATTCATGCCATTGAGTAAGACCATGGATTCGCTCATCAAGCAGATCTGGGTTCACAGCAGGATCTGCAATACTTGCTCTGTGACCTTGGGTAAATTTCTTAACCTCAAAGCCTCAGTTTCCCTATCAGTGAAATAAAAATAATAGTACCTATTGCATGTGGATATTAGATAAAATGAAAGAATGCTTTTGCAAAAGTTAGTTCAGTTCCTAGGAGACAGTAATGGCTCAGTAAATATTCTTCATCTTCACCCATCATCACAAGCCTTTGGATTTCCTGACAATAGCTGCCTTATTCCAAACAAATCCCTCTCTTCTAATTCTCTCTGCCTGCCTTGCAGCACAGACCTCCAATGCATGACTGTCCCTTTCCCAAGATTTTTATCCTGGGTGAATGGAAATATCAGCACCCGCTTTAGGGTTTTTCCCTAATAGCTGCCTGCTACCAAGAGGGGAGATAGACGCTCATCAGGAAAACATTTCATTAAGATCATGCCGGTCCTGCAAATCTGAGACTGAATCGCCTTTTGTTTGGTACTTCTTTGGTTGCATTTTATCCACATGGCGCTGGAAAGGCCAGGTGAAGAAAATGAGCCCCTGGGCATGAAGAGTCAAATTCCTCATCCCCATTTATGGATATTTGCCCATTAATTCCCTTTGCACCCGCTCTCTTGTGTCTTCATTTTCCCTATGCAATTACTGGTCCTAAATCCTTTCAGAGAAGGGAAAGCATGCATCCCCAACAGCATTTTGCATCTACAAATCAAACGTATAATTGGCATCTCGTGATGGTACCCACAAATCACAGTGCATTTGAAATTACAGGCACAAGACCGAGAGGGCATTTTAAGCCTTGTCTGAAAAGGTCTTCGTATAACCTGTTTGAGAATAACGATAGTTCTCCAATTTCCCATTCTTACACCATTGGCTGTTATTTTAAAATCATTATATTTGCTGAAGTTACATAATTTTTCAACTATCAACGGAAGATTTTATTAGCATACCCCACAATCTCTCTTCCTGCTGTGTGTGACTCTCTACAAATAAAAATGTTACAACAAAAAGACACTGCCTATCAAAAATGTAATGGCTGTGTGTTCAAATTACTTCCGAACACTCAAAAATGGTTTATTTAGATAACTATATGCCAATATATCCAAATGTCTTGGTAAACCTTCCCATCGAGATGTCAAGGGTCAAATCTTAGTTTTCTTATGAGTTTTTTAGTTTTCAAATCTTAGTTATCTTCTTCTAAAGATATGACTTTCATAGAATTTGCATTTCAATCCAGCATTCTTGAAAGTCATACACATGAATTTAGCAACCATCCCATTATAAGCTTGTGAGATATCCCCTAAACATGAAAATTATTAAGTTGGGATTCTAGGCATTTATAAAGAATTATGACTCCTGCCAATTAAAAGAAAAAAAGGCAGAAGATGGCACAAAGAAATCACCTGGCTTTTTCCTGCTCCCATTGTTCTCAGTCATAAAAGTGTAGATTAAATTCAGTTCCGCTCAGCAAGCATTAGTCTAAGAGGGGAAACTGGGACAGAATAAGTGACCTGTTATTGTTACTTCATGGCTGCTTCTTCTCTTCTAGGCTATGCCCAGGAGGAACAGTTGAAGGAAGAGGAGGAAATAAAAGAGGAAGAGCAAGAGGAGGACGACAGTGGCTCAATCGCTCAGCTCCAGGGCAGCAATGACACAGGGACAGACGAGGAGCTGGAAACGGGCCCAGAGCAGAAAGGCTGCTTCAGCTACCAGAACTCCCCAGGAAGTCACTTGTCCAATCAGGACGCAGAGAACGAGTCTCTACTAAGCGACGCCAGTGATCAGGTGTCGGACATAAAGAGTGTGTGCAGCCGAGATGCCTTGGACAAGAAAGCCATCCCTCCCCACAAGCTTCCAAACGAAGCACACAACTGCATGGATAAAATGACAGCCGTCTACGCCAACATCCTGTCTGATTCCTACTGGTCGGGCCTGGGCCTGGGCTTCAAGCTGTCCAGCAGCGAGAGGCGGAACTGCGACACCCGAAACGGCAGCACCAAGGGCGATTTTGATTGGCACCAGGATGCCCTATCCAAAAGCCTGCAGCAGAACCTGCCTTCTCGGTCCGTCTCCAAACCCAGCCTGTTCAGCTCGGTGCAGCTGTACCGGCAGAGCAGCAAGATGTGCGGGGCCGTGTTCACCGGGGCCAGCAGGTTCCGCTGCCGGCAATGCAGCGCTGCCTACGACACCTTGGTTGAGCTGACTGTGCACATGAACGAAACAGGCCACTAAGATTTTGATTGGCACCAGGATGCCCTGTCCAAAAGCCTGCAGCAGAACCTGCCTTCTCGGTCCGTCTCCAAACCCAGCCTGTTCAGCTCGGTGCAGCTGTACCGGCAGAACAGCAAGATGTGCGGGGCCGTGTTCACCGGGGCCAGCAGGTTCCGCTGCCGGCAGTGCAGCGCTGCCTACGACACCTTGGTTGAGCTGACTGTGCACATGAACGAAACAGGCCACTATCAAGATGACAACCGCAAAAAGGACAAGCTGCGACCCACGAGCTACTCGAAGCCCCGGAAAAGGGCTTTCCAGGACATGGACAAGGAGGACGCTCAAAAGGTTCTGAAGTGTATGTTTTGTGGCGACTCCTTCGACTCCCTCCAAGATTTGAGTGTCCACATGATAAAAACAAAACATTACCAAAAAGTGCCTTTGAAGGAGCCAGTACCAACCATTTCATCGAAAATGGTCACCCCTGCAAAGAAACGCATTTTTGAGGTGAATCGGCCGTGTTCCCCCGATTCCACCACAGGATCGTTTGCAGATTCTTTCTCTTCTCCGAAGCACGCCAACTCGCAGCTGTCCTCCAACAACCGCTACGGCTACCAGAATGGCGCCAGCTACACCTGGCAGTTTGAGGCCTGCAAGTCCCAGATCTTAAAGTGCATGGAGTGCGGCAGCTCCCACGACACCTTGCAGCAGCTAACCACCCACATGATGGTCACAGGTCACTTTCTCAAGGTCACCAGCTCTGCCTCCAAGAAGGGGAAGCAGCTGGTGTTAGACCCACTGGCAGTGGAGAAAATGCAGTCATTGTCGGAGGTCCCGAACAGCGATTCTCTGGCTCCCAGGCCATCGAACAACTCAGCCTCTGACTGTACAGCCTCAACAACCGAGTTAAAGAAAGAGAGTAGAAAAGAAAAAGCAGAGGAAACCAACAAGGACGAGAAAGTCATGAAAAGCGAGGAATATGAAGATCCCCTACAAAAACCATTAGACCCTACAATAAAATATCAATATCTACGGGAGGAGGACTTGGAAGATGGCTCAAAGGGTGGAGGGGATATTTTGAAGTCATTAGAAAATACTGTGACCACAGCCATCAACAAAGCCCAAAATGGGGCTCCCAGCTGGAGCGCGTACCCCAGCATCCACGCAGCCTACCAGCTGCCAGAGGGCACCAAGCCTCCTTTGCCCATGGGATCCCAGGTGCTGCAGATTCGGCCTAATCTCGCCAACAAGTTAAGGCCAATTGCACCAAAATGGAAAGTAATGTCACTCGTTTCTATGCCCACAAACCTGGCCCCATACACTCAAGTTAAGAAGGAGTCAGAAGAAAAAGACGAAATCGTGAAGGAATGTGGGAAAGAGAGTCCCCACCAAGAGGCATCGTCTTTCAGCCACAGCGAGGGGGATTCCTTCTCCAAGAGCGAAACGCCTTCAGAATCCAAAAAGACTGAGCCATGTCCCCTGAAGGAGGAGGACAAGCTGATGAAAGAGAGCGGTGAGAAGGAGAAGACTCAGCCCTTGGAGCCGGCGTCTTCTCTCAGCAATGGCTGTGCCCTGGCCGACCACAATCCGGCACTGCCCTGCATCAACCCGCTCAGCGCCTTGCAGTCCGTCTTGAACAATCACCTGGGCAAAGCCACTGAACCCTTACGCTCACCTTCCTGCTCCAGCCCAAGCTCAAGCACAATTTCTATGTTCCACAAGTCCAATCTCAGTGTCATGGACAAGCCGGTTTTGAGTCCTGCATCCACAAGGCCGGCCAGTGTGTCTAGACGCTACCTGTTTGAGAACAACGATCAGCCCATCGACTTGACCAAGTCCAAAAGCAAGAAAGCCGAGTCCTCACAAGCACAATCCTGCATGTCCCCGCCTCAGAAGCATGCTCTGTCTGACATCGCCGACATGGTCAAAGTCCTCCCCAAAGCAACCACCCCAAAGCCTGCCACTTCCTCGAGGGTCCCTCCCCTGAAGCTGGAAATGGATGTCAGGCGCTTTGAGGATGTCTCCAGTGAAGTCTCAACTTTGCATAAAAGAAAAGGTCGGCAGTCCAACTGGAATCCTCAGCACCTTCTGATTTTGCAAGCTCAGTTTGCCTCAAGCCTCTTCCAGACATCAGAGGGCAAATATCTGCTGTCCGATCTGGGCCCGCAAGAGCGTATGCAAATCTCCAAGTTCACGGGACTCTCCATGACCACCATCAGCCACTGGCTGGCAAACGTCAAGTACCAGCTTAGGAAAACAGGAGGGACAAAATTTCTGAAAAACATGGACAAAGGACATCCCATCTTTTATTGCAGTGACTGTGCCTCCCAGTTCAGAACCCCCTCTACCTACATCGGTCACTTAGAATCCCACCTAGGTTTCCAAATGAAGGATATGACCCGCATGGCAGCAGACCAGCAAAGCAAGGTGGGGCAGGAGCTTTCCCGGGTATCATCGGCTCAGAGATCTCCGGAAACAATAGCTGGCGAAGAGGACACAGACTCTAAATTCAAGTGTAAGTTGTGCTGTCGGACATTTGTGAGCAAACACGCAGTAAAACTCCACCTAAGCAAAACGCACAGCAAGTCACCCGAACACCATTCACAGTTTGTAACAGACGTGGATGAAGAATAGCTCTGCAGGTATGGGTTTGCTCCCAGGCGATTGTGACAGTGGCCTTGCAAGGAGCTTCTTACAGGGAGATGGGTCTGCTTAGAGGCAACTAATATCTCCCAATGTCAAGCAGGACAATAGCTTGTTGGAGTAGGACTTATTTTTATGAATGACCAGAACATGATAAATAAGTCTTAACCACTCTCTCGAGTCCTCCAATTTAGAGTTGGGGAACAGAATAAAATGGGGTGAGAGAGATAAGTTCCCCTGAGATACCCAAGGCAACCTCCCGGGTCCAGCCCAGGCTACCCCTCATTTTAATCAATAAGTACTAACTTCTCTCACCATCCCATTTCACCACCCCACCTTCCCACAGCAATACTAATGTCTTATAAGGTGTAAACAGGTGAGCACCAGAATAAAGATGGGAGAGTTGCTAGGGGCATTCACTCTACAGAGATTTCTTAATCAGCTCATGAATACCTTAAAGTTGTCTTTATTATTGTTACTTATAATTAACACTTTTTGCAGCTTACTTTTAGCCATTGCTACCTTCCATCGCCTTCCCTTTGTTTATTTCCCACATTAAGTTTCCTATGAAAGAGCTTATGCCTTTAAGGGATAATAGGAAAATATTCTTCTCTGCAGAACATTGAGATGAAAAGAGAAGAAGCTTATTTTCTTCTCTCATCTTTTGGTTTTCTTTAGGACAAACTAATATCAGAGTCTACCCCTAGCAAAGACAGATACAATGCATGCCCTTGAGATTTTATTTTACATAAAGAAACAAATGGCTTTCCTCACACCTAATGTCAATTCACATGGGTCCCACGGCTTGAGAATTTGCATCTTATATCATATAAATCCTGTGTCTCACATAGTCACTGATGTCCAGACCATCCATGTCACCTCCAGGAAGGAACAAAGAGGCCAAGGGCAGATACTTTGGCAGATTAGCCACATCAGCCATTTTCACATGTCGAGTGTAATCAAAGCTGGTCTTAGCAAATCTCTTTCATCTCCCTTTTTGTATTTTTTTCTACTTCCTTTTCTCTCCCCTCCAGCATGGTACCCTCACATGCTAGGGACCCTCATACATATTCAGGTTGTCCTTTACCTCGGGCCACACCCAAGATGGGAACCCAAGCTGAGCTAACCCTTCTGTGCTTACCAGTCCAGTTTATATTGTGCTGGGTTACAGATATGCTCTTAATTAATTACTTAGCTCTTCATTCATTCATTCATTCATTCACAATAAGATGTGAAAGGCTAATATTAGCTCAGCACATAAGCCCTCACCACCCCCTATTGTTAGAGTATTTGTTTTTAAATAGGACCCTCTCAGATCAAGCTACAAGGTTATGGACACTAGGAGAGTTCCAGATAGAGGGGGTATTTGTCTAGCCTGGCTTTGGACTCACCTCCTGTCAGGTAGAGAGATTTACCAAGTGTGAGGCTGGCCAAAATGAAATAAGAGGTTAAAATATCTGATCTTGGATTTTTCCCTTAGCGAGAAGTTCTAAGTGCCTGCTAAGAGAAGACCCATTCTATAACTCTAACAGCTATCTGGGCCCAAATGAAGGCTTTTGTGTTTGCATGTTTTTATTATGATAATTAAATGGGTTACTGGTGATTCATCTCTTGCTTTCCAAGCATGATTTGTTCAGCTCACACTATTGAAAGAAAAGCCAAAATGCATCTATTGAATCCACACGTGAGCTTGGAGCTCTGCAATGTCCTATTTATTTGCTATATAACATTTTGAATTTTGTGTAACTTGCTATTATGCTTTTCTGGTTCTTTAAAAAAAAAGGTGGACATACACAGAATACCTACAGAGAAGAAAGGTGTTTCATATCCAATAGTGGTGGGTCCAAACCATGGTGAAGAGAACAAATAGGTAATACTTATTTGTCATATAATAAAGACCAATTTTCCACCTGTTAGGTTTGTAATCTTTTTTTTTTTTTGAAAAAATTAATATCACTGCCAAAACACTGTGATATGGAGATAAGGAGAAGGGACAAAAAGAAAGAAAGCATCCATCCATTCTCAGTCAGAATCTGAAATGTGTGGTATCCGTTCTAGGGAAATGAAGGTAAACCTGCTAAGAACATAGATAAGGTCACTGTTTCCACATCTCTCTGCATTTGTATGGAATAAATATTTCTAATTTGAGCCTTCGAAGCACCGTATTACAGTGTTATCATCATATGACACCAAAACTCCATCCTTACATAATGACTGTTATGCTGTGATTCTGGGAGGGTTACAAAACAACAGGTCTGAGTATTTGGGACTCATTTAAAGCAAGGAGAGTGTATGCATTGTGTATCTAGAAAAGATGGTGCGGGTGCTGGGTGTGTTTGTGCCAATACTAAAAATATTCTAATCTGCCTGATTAGATCCCCCATCTGAACAAAAGTGGCTTCATGATGCTTTGGTCACCCATGAAAGGATGCCTCTATCCCCAGGGTCCTTTTTAGAACACTTATGTAATACCTTGCCCACGGCTTAGAATTATGCATATTATGTTTTTAAGTGGTCACAAAATGGCTTCACTGTTATCTGGAACTCTAATCTTAGTTGATATACATGATAGCACAAATTGTGCAAAATGACATGATATTTTTAGAAAGCATGGTCAAGATTTTATAGAAAATTTAGGAGCTTTACCATATCTATGTTTTCTAAAAGACACATTTTAGAACCAAATTTTCTTTCCTTTCTTCGATATATCTTAAATCCTGCAAAATGCTCTGCCAAATATTAAATGCAACTTTTCATTAAAAATTCATCAGAGGACATCAAATGTGCAACCCTATTTTAGGACATAAGTAACCTAAAACAATTTTAATATGTATTTGTATATATATTTAAAAGCCACATGCTCTTGAATAATAGAAATTAAACAGAGAGCAACTCAATGAGCGTTAACATGCATAAGGACTTGAAATTATAGTCATTATTGTGTAACCCAGTGTACAAGTTTAACAGCACACCTAGCCTTGAAATTGTTGGCAGGAATGTATTCTAGTCCAATGAGCTGACGCCTTTGTTGTGGATAGCTTGATAAAAACACATGTTCAGGGTGAAAAGTATATAAGGTTGCCAGATAAAATAAAGGATGGACTTCCAATTAAGGTTACATTTCAGATAAAAAACAAATATGTTTTTAGTATAAGTATGTCTCAAATATTGCATGGGCCATTCTTATATTTAAAAGGCATTTATTGTTTATCTGAGATTCAACTTTAACTAAACATCTTGTATTTTTACTTGCCAAATCTGGCAACCCTAACAGCACGGATTATATGGCGGCCTTGAAGAGGCAAACAGGATGGATTAATTAGTGCTGGAAGAGACATCCACTGTTTCTTCTTCATCTGTTAAATAAATATTCCTTTCCTTCTTCCTTCCTTCTTTCCTTGCTTTCTTCTTTTCTTCCCTCCCTGAATTCCTTTCATCCCTCAAGAAATATTGGTTGTGCTTTTATTATGCACCAGACTCTATTTAGCAAAGGAAATATAATAGTGAACCAACAGTCATGCCAATTATAATAGCAAAATGTTCCAGGCCTTGCAGCAAGCACTTTACATTATTTCACTTAATTCTCATGAACAGCCCTACGAGGTAGGACTTGATTCAACCACGTGACAGAAGAGGAATGGAGGCAGAGAGATTCTGCACAATTATTTCACTTAATTCTCATGAACAGCCCTATGAGGTAGGACTTGATTCAACCACGTGACAGAAGAGGAATGGAGGCAGAGAGATTCTGCACAATTTCCCCAAGGTCCCACGTCTTCAAGCCTCACTCATTCACTATCACATACCTAGAAAGCCATCATTCCATGGCAAACTCTGTGTTAATCCCAGGGAATAAACCAATGACCAGGACAACAGCCTGTTTTTGAGGCTACTGGAAGACACATGATGGACAACTCCAGGGAAATGCTGAAGGGAGCACACACAGGGGCCCCTCCCAGTCCCAGGGGAAGCCAAGATGGAAAACCATGGTTTCAGAGGCAGCATTCGGGACCCCTCGGAATTGAGTTCAAACCCTAACTCATCCACTCCCTCTAAGACGTGCCCTGCTTCTGTGCCTACAAAATGTGGACCTAATATGCCTCTCATAGGAAGGTGGTAAGAATCAAATGAATGTGTGTCTTTATTTTCCATAAAGCCTGACACACAGCAGGTTCCCGAGAAAAGTAAGTTCTAGAACAGAGTCTCTACAGGACCTTGCATGTTCTGCAAACTCACCGGAAGTATCCAGAACTTGCAGCGTCTTCTCGGGTTGAACTAATTAATACCCATGTGAAAACCTCAACCTGCTATCCCATTACAATAACAACGATAGCAAAGCTACCATTTATGGCTTATTCCTATCAACCATGCATAGCTATTCATATCACCCTCATTTTATAGAGAAGTAAACCGAGGCTCAAAGGGTTTCATGATTTGTCCAAGAACACACAGGAAGCCCAGAGGTGGGATTTGAATCCAGGACTGCCTGACGCTCATCAACTCTCTCCTGCTTTTGGTTTCCTCTTCCTTGCCTGATGGTTTCTAGGTGTTCCCCAGGGACAGACCTATCTCCGACAGCATAGAGAAAAGGCTGTGAACGTGGGGTAAGGGCTGAGAGAGGAGCAGGGCCTTTTCTGTGCCTCCTGGAGGCTCCAGCTGTAAATCAAATATTGCAACTCAGGGGCCTGCATCTGACCTACAGGGTGAAGCAGAGCATCCTTGTTCTTTTTATTTTAACGCTCTTGTTCATCGGGGTAATTAGACATTTACCACATCGCGTCTAACCAAGAAATGACCCAAATTTCAGAGAAAATGTATACATAAAATACACGTTATATATTTTTTATATATAATTCTCATCCTGACTTTCAGGAATTCATTTTGGGGAAACAAAATGAGGTTCAGGAAAACAGGGTCAAGTCCCAGACTATGGCATTTCTCAAGCAGGAAGAAAGACACGTCTTAATGTTTGCACTTTAGCCAGGCGATCTGGCTTAACTCCCCATGCGCCGATGCCTGGCAGTCTCCGTTACAATTTCCCCCACATTTGGACATTTGAATGCTCGATCCTGACATGTATAATTTGGTGCTTTAATATAGAGTAACATTATTTTTCATTTACTCCAATCTGCCATCAGTATCATCTTTTCATTTAACCAGATACAATTCTTTTTTCTTTCGCTAAATTGAAAATCCATGAGCGACAGGGAGTGCAATGTTTTAATTAGCTCATATTTTTTATATGGATTTATGTCTTTAAAATACATTTGTGTAATTCTTCAGCTAAATTAAAAACGTCTTTTTGCAATAGTGAGGAGGAGAAAATAAAGGGCTACATTGTGTCATTAGCTTAGGTAGATGCAGATGAACAGTGGAATCTAGAGGAGGGACACACACGATCGCTGGAGCTGCTGTCTGCGCTGGTTTTGAACTTGCCCTTCATTTAAAGAAGTCTTTCTCTATAAAGACTTCTCGAAAAATGGCTTGAAGAGGGGATTTTTTAGGCCCGTAGTAAGTAAACAAGCAGGTAACTTCAAGGAGCTCATTTGAAACCAAACCTGCCGCCAAATAGAAAAAAGTCATAATGATAAACAGTTTTCCCCTGCATTTCTCTCTTTGTCTTTTTTTTTTTTAACTATCAAGTTTAAAGCTTTCCATGATGCTTTTTTTCTACTTTATAGGAGACAAGTGACATTCCGTGGTAAATGGGAGAAAAAGCCATGCAGAACTGAAATCTCTCTAATGCATTGACACTAACTTGCCCTCTATTGTTGGAAACGAGCAGGCGCTCGTGATTGTTCATCACACGACTCCTAATGCAGTTAAAGCATTCAGCTATAATTTCTCCTTGCATTTATAATTACTGTCATAGACTGCACACCTCGGTGAGCAGATTAAAGCTATAAACTATTTAGCCGCGGCTCTAAGACGAGGAACTTGATTTGTCTGGCAGGAGTTATTTGTTAGAGAGCTTGACACTTCACATAAAAATGACTCAACTTGATGGAGAACAATGCAGTTTTAGCAATGCAGGGGTTTTAAATCAGTCATGACGCCACACCCTGCAAGAATTGCAGGGCAGTTTGTTAAACGATATGTAGGCCACGGAGATAACGGAGTGTGTTAAGGGTCCCCAAAATAGAAGAAAATTGGGTATGCAGCGGCTTTCTTTCCTGACCCTCCTCTGGAAGAACAGGAGTTTGTTGTAAATCAGCACACGTCATGTTCTCCGATTAAATCCAGCATAAACGTTATGCGAGGCTCACCCGACGGGGAAAGGGACTACCAGCCGCCTAAGGCGCATGTCACATGTGGGAGTTTTAGGGGACTGTGTGTGGCTGTAGAGAACATTTGCCTCCAGAACCTCAGGAAGCCAGGGCTACGTGGAAAGTGGTTGTTGGGGGTGGGGGGGGGGGGTCTTCCTGAAATATTCATGAATTTATTTGTTTACTTACAGGACGCACATAAGGTATTTAGGAATAGAGAATGATTGTGTGGGGCGATTCCATAACTTTTTAGCTAGAAAAATAAACAAAAATAGATATTTCTTCACTCAGACATCTTTTAATTGTTGGGATCCAGTAAGCAGGAGCTGTCGTTCTCAGTCAACTGAAATATTCATGAATTTATTTGTTTACTTACAGGACGCACATAAGGTATTTAGGAACAGAGAATGATTGTGTGGGGCGATTCCATAACTTTTTAGCTAGAAAAATAAACAAAAATAGATATTTCTTCACTCAGACATCTTTTAATTGTTGGGATCCAGTAAGCAGGAGCTGTCGTTCTCAGTCAATTTTGGTGAGTTTGATTTGTCATGGAATCGTCCTCCACCTACCCACACCTCACAGCCACAAACAAACAAATTTATTTTAAAACTAGCATTCAGCATTGAGGCTCTATTGAATCTGTAT